ACAAGCGAGAATCTTGTAGAATGTACACGAAAAATAGCTAGAAAAACTATCAACAGATAGCACGAGATCGCGAGCCAGCTTGAGGCATCCCAATCAGTGTCCCAAGATAGGCTGCTTTAAAGCAGTCAGTTGACTTTAGCCAAACTCTGGTTGGTCGAGATCCTTATAGCCGATAACTCTTGTCATTTCCCTCGAGTCGCTCCTTTAAACCAAATCGAGAGCGTTCCTTATCGAATCGGTACGTAACAACTGGAGATCATCCACGGACGCTTCCCCAGGGCATCGGGCAACAGCTTGGCACCACATCTACAACTCGGGTCAGGGGGTTACCCCCTCCTCTTAATCGTAACAATCCGTATTTCTATAGCCCTTTTCCTTTCTCCAGCGACGCGCCGGTATACCACCTGGACTTCTGCTGCTCCGTGGAGACGTCTCCGACTGGTACTCTCCTGTGCCGGGCAATTCGACACGTCGAGACTGTCCCTCCACAGCAGATTTGAGCACCTTGACCTCGACCAAACAATAGGAAATCTTTCCGAGAGAGTTGCCGTAACTGTACGAATCAAACCGAGAGCGCAGTTTCTGAGCAGGGTGGCGACTCGAAGGGAACCAAACAGGGAGAAAGATATCTGAATCAGTAGCTGGAGTCGCCTTGTGACCGTGAATCGAAAAATCAGGACACAGTATGTACCAATGTTCAATTACAAAATGAGTAATAATTATAAAAGAGCATTCGTGATTTTCATACCAAATTATGTACAACATACGACTTAAAATAAGAAGGCACTCCTCGTATACCTCTCTTGTAGATAATTGTTAAAGTCATTACCAGTATTATTTAATTGTATGCCGCCTAAGTTACATAAACTCTGATAATAAAAGTTTATAATAGCAAATGAAGCATTGCAAACTCATTTTTTCCCATATTATCTTGCTATTTATTTAACTTAGTGTCTAACTGTTTTCTAAATTAATGTATAATTACAATTGAATATAATTTTGATTTTACATAATTAAAACAAAGACTGAAATGACAATGAATATTTTACACAGTTTTTCCTTAAAAATTACCGTGAAACTCACGGTACCCACGGGACATCAAAACATCCTGAAAAGTAAGCATGATACGTCAGCGTTTACTGAAGTGTATGGTAAACTTTTTCAAAGATGAAAATATATAGTATAAAGGTATAACTTTTATACTATATCTACACTACTCTTCATTGTACCATTGTGAAACACAGTAAAAAGTGCAAGTAATAAAATTTACCGTGTGCACTCTAAAACTTATTTAAAGCCACTCAAAATATCGTATGCTATAAGGAATAAGTAATGAAAAGATATCAATGTCCCACGGTTACTGGTTTCTACTGTAACATTTATCGTGAACTTTGTAGGAAAAATTAGGGAAAAATCCTCTCCGCGTGGCGTCACCTCTTAGGGATAATGACCTAACGATGCTTAGCAGGGTCTTCTCATCCAAAGTGGCCACGTTGCCTCGT